GAAATTTCATTCAGCTACTGAAGACGCCAACTTGGTAAGTGAAACCCATGTCGAGAACAGTATTACATTACTGGTGGTTGGGAAAAGTGGTTGTTTTGGTTCCAGTTTCACCTTTTATTTCGGGGTTGAATATCTGGAACAAATGTCGAAAAGAAATGAACTATATGGTGAGGTTGTCAAGGAGTACATCCAGCTAACACACATTTACATGGAACAAAATTGCTTTCAGTTTGCTAACTATTTGAACAAACAATATGGGAGTACGGAAATATACAACTAATTATTTTCTTTCATGTCATCTGTGCATAAGCAGATTTGAATTAGCAGTAAGAGAATAGTTGCATAACTTTCCACAACACTTGGATGATATGTTTGCGTTTTTGACGCACATAGGAGTAAGGTAAAGGATCTCGTGTCCTGTATCAACAACGAAGGATCTCGAAAACTTACCATTCTCGGATGGCTTAGTTATATGAAATGCCGATAAGAGTTTGGACGTTGATGCATGTTATTGACAACTTCCCCCATTGCCCACAACAAAAAATGGCGGAAGTAAATTTTCCTGTCCATGGGTTGGTTACGTTCTTTATGAGTAAAGAAAGATATCATATCGAGAAAAAAGTTGTCAAGGAAATGTAAGTTAATTGCAAAATGTATAATCAGAGAGTATATTCGTGAATATTCAACTTTTCAGAGAAACGAAGACTCAAAACTCATTATTTTTCCAGATAAACCAATATATTTCTACGGATTGGTCCGAATTTTAGAAAAATTGAATATGACAGTGACTTTCAAAAGTGTTCATACACTTTCACAGGTGTTAGGCAACTCGAAGACGAGACGACAGAAAAAGAAACATCTAGGATCCACGAAATAAGCGGACTATAATAGCTTGCTATAAGGAACATTTTACACGTATTCGGTTTCATAGACCAGTGTCGCACAAAATGCCTTAAAAGAGCGGAAAAATAAGTGAAGAATGCTTGAAATTATTGAAACCGGTACATGAAAAAATATTTCAGATATCTTCGAAAATCAAGAAATTGAAATGAACCTTTTATCCGGAACAGTCTGTTGTTCAGTCATTTATGCATTAATTATCGGTAGAAACTGGGAAAATATCAATCATAATCAGGTAGCTATCAATACGACTGGATAAACAGGTAGATAATCATACTAACAAAAATAACAAATTCTAAGTATTCTTCAGATTACCTTCATTTGATGACCCCCGGTTTCAAACAGATTTATGAAAAAGCTTCGATTCAGTTGTAGGATTTCGTTCCAATCATCTTCTGATATCGATAACAGGGTTAACTTGGTTAGCAGAGCGCGTGTCGAGAGTATTTATTCCTCATTTTTATATATGTGGTTGTCATGAAGATTGAACTTATATTTTCTCTATCAATGAGACACAACTATATACGTTCCTGAAATTTCTCCAAGAGTATTTCATAATACTGAAAACAATAAATATTTCATTAGGCGATAGTCGAAAAAACATTAGTAGAACCCAGAAAATCTTCTCTTCCAATATGTTGAATAAGTCTTCAATCATTTATTTTTTCATATCATTTCAAAACCAATCAGCTGATCCTACCGAGCAATATTCAGAATGTTTATGGTCTTGTTTATATGAGACTGTGAAATGCTCATTTGCAGATCAATACTAAGGAGTACTGAATGCTTGACCCGGAAAAGAACTTCCTTCGTTTCATCACCAGAGTGCCAGTAAACATTTGCTGCCCTGAAGAAAAATTTGACCAGTGCCCCATTTCTGGCATACTCAAAAAATGGGGACTTGTTTATACTTGGGACGGATGTATCTCTTTATGGAAATGGGACAGTACAAGAAGGAGGATACGTTGTTATTAGATGGGTATTTCAGTAAGTCCCTGGAAACAGCAGAAAAAAGAAAGAGCTCCTCGGAGTGGTTGAAACGAAGAATCACTACCACTTCTTTTCATGGAGCCGACCACAAATTGGAACAAAATTCACTATTAAACTACCAGAACTCTTTCACCATTATTTATTATTGTAGTTAATACGTTTTAGAATTTGCAAATGTTTGTCTCTTTGTAATCAATCACTTTGCCCAATTCTAATGATGAGTTTCAACCCAAGTATCTGATGAATTTTCCAACAAAAAAATTTGGTATTGAAGTAATACTCAAACAAAAATATATCATGTGTTTATTCCTTTGTCAAAGACACGATTGTATGTTAGTGAATAATATTAAATTTATCTATGATGGATGATCCATACATTCACTACCTACTATGAATTGAAGTTTCCTACCATGTCTGTCTTTATCTGAACTCGATAATTTCGAAAACTACCAAATAACCACGTTCACATAATGTGGTATTTGAGTAGCTATTGAAGTCGCGTTTTTGTTTCGGGTTGTCTTCAGGTATATACATATTTACCTATTTCAAAATCAAAATTGATAGTTTTGAATATATTTCGAGTTGAATCAAGTTTATCCGAAGTTATTATTATCAGTTACTATCTGCGGTATCCAGCTTCGTTCTATACATCTACTCGTATCAGTGGGTAGACCAATCTTTGCAAAAAAGATTCGAATGGTCTATGATTTTCCACAATAATCTGAAATGTTCCATAATAACCTGAAATTTATTCAAACTTTACAGACTATTTCTGGACACTTCACAACATTCCAGATTATTTTTCTATGTTCTGAAATGTAGAATGCTCTCAAATGTTCCATAATAACCTGAAATTTATTCAAACGTTACAGACTATTTCTGGACACTTCACAACATTCCAGATTATTTTTCTATGTTCTGAAATGTAGAATGCTCTCAAATGTTCAGGACTATTCAATAAATTTCTAAAGGGCGAAACTCCTAGCCATATCATCTTCAAAAGCATGTTCTTGACGAAAGTTCCACAATGATCCGAAATGTTCCAGGATGTTCCCGATCTTTCAGGATTATTCCAAAACATTACAGAATGTATATTATTGGAGTTTTTTTCCAACACCAAATCATTATTTTTAACACTTCGACACGTGTTTCGATCACCAAGTGATCATCTTCAAGAGGAAGATAAAACAGTTTTATCTTCCTCTTGAAGATGATCACTTAGGGATCGAAACACGTGTCGAGGTGTTGAAAATAACAATTTGGTTTTGGGAAAAAACTCCACTAATATTCATCACTACCCCAAAGTTTCCAAACAGTATGTCATAATTACAGAATGTTTCAAGATGTTCTGAAATATTGTAGGATGGTCTTAAATACTCTCGAATTTGCTGAACTGTTCTAGAAATCTCTGGAACTCCTTTGATTATTCCAGAAAGATCTGGGATGTTCCCCGAACACTCTGTTCTGGACTGTTTGGGAACTTTGTGATGGACAACACTTTGAGCTCTTTGAAAGTACGCCTACGGGTGGACACGGAAATCTCCTTCACGGATGAGGGATAGAGAGCTAACACAGCTAATAACGCCCTTGATCGATTCACAATGATCTGTGGTGTCATTTTCTGGAACTTTCCACTCTATTCCAGAACATTTCTCAATATTCCCGAATGTTTCAAGATGTTTTGGAATGTGTTTGAATTTTAAAGTTTTTACTGTTGAGGTTTAACGTTCGTAAGAGAGCGACAGCTAGTTAACGAAGAAATAGTTTTTCAGCCTAGAAGGCTAAACTTACAGGCCCTATAATTTTAAAGTACGCTCTTTAGGTAAAAATGGAAACCTTATTCATGAACAAACTGGTTTGATACTATGACACAAAAATAGCGGAACTAGTTGAACGCTAGTATCTGTTTCATCTCATTGTTCTTCATATTTATTCTTGGGAGGTTTGTCGACGTTTTCAATTTCTAGATGAACTGTATGCTTTGGGTCCAAAAGAAACTTGAATATCGTAATAGATCTGGTCAATACTTGATGACAATACGTATAAATAACGAATTGTGAGATATTTACTCAATAGTTCACGACACCACGACACCTGGACACTAACTGGATAGGTTCGAAGTGACTAGACCGCAATCCGCGGAAGTTTATTTGGCTCACATTCATTTGAACTCGGCCAAATAAATCCACTTTCTCAAAGAATCTCAACGAATATTTTATTTGGTGAGTGATCTTTCCGATCAGCTGGCAAGAGTGGGATCCTACTAAACACCAAACATTTGATCCGGAACGCTGCATGCCAGGCACATCATATTGCTCTACAACCACGATCTGAATTTCCTTTCCTTTCCACCTCAATGACAGCAGCATCCTTCCCATCTCTGAGGTAGTTTAGACCATGCAGGCCTTGATCATCTGGTTTGGAGTTATTCAGTTGACCTCGTCCTCCATCCTCACTTAAGTCGAATTTTTCAATTACTTCAAGGCCGTTACGTAGCTAGGAAATGGAGGTGTAACAAGACAGAGCCTTGCATTGACGTTACAAGGCTTTCTACGACGAGAGGTTTCTGCAGTTCCAAAGCGGTTCAAACCCACAAATACAGAGAGCTTTCAATGCTGTTTGACTGATGAAGCATACGTTATTGCGCCACTGGTGCCTCTTAAAAATATATTTGAGTAGTTATTGTACAGAAAACTTACACAATATGATTCGATTTAAGATTACATCAATCCACCGTAATCTTTAAAAAAAAACCTGAAATATTGATTAATCAACAATAAACTGAATCACATCTGCAGAATTTTTCAATAGAAGGGCTATTCAATGAAACTTGTGCAATACAGATGGTTACGTGGAACATATGACATCCACCATAAGGCAGACATTTTCAACTCAGTGCATTCTGTATCTGACATGGTTTTACTTTTCAACTTGGTCAAGACTTCGGTTTGAACTTCGGCAGGAACATATTCAAACTGGTATTCTTTGCAATTGGAAATAACTTGTTCTAGTCATTTTTTGGCAATCATTTCCACAGTCATATTGAAAATTTTGTCTATTATTTATTGTTACTCCGAACATTCGCGTTTTTCATTTCAATTTATTTCCAGTGAAATGACAGTTATACGACCAATAGAAACAGATCTGAAGGGATGCCACGTTGAAGACATGTTGCAAAAACATTGGGGATCAACACATACTGTCAAAGTATATAGAGAGCCCAATAAAAGTTTAGGAATCAATATCGTGGGAGGAAAGGTCAGTATAAAGATGCATTTCGTACTTGTATTTTGATTTTGGTTTCATTTATCAAAGTTTTCTTTAGATGAAAAAAGATATTTGAAACTTTTTATGTTTTTTACCACTTTTATTTGTAACTAACGTTACTGCAGTTTTGTCCTATAAGGACATTTTCAAACTTATACATTACATTACATGAATCTATAAGTTATAGGACGGAACTTCAGTCAGTAACGTTGATTACAAATAGAAACGGTTAAAAACATAGAAAGTTTCAATACTCTTTTCTTCATTATGATCTCCTACCATGTAGTAACGGCTACATCCATCAATTTATTATTCTTCAGATATTGACCTATTTTTCAATGTTCAAACATCTTCATGATGAAATAATGTATTATTAAGTTAATAATGATTTTGAGAATTCAATAAATGTTTCCTAATAAAAAAATAAAGATTTTCATTAATTCGTTGTAATTGATGATTTTTTCTATGAAATAACTGAGGATTCTTTTGATATTCATCTCTACGTTCTGGAGACCAGAATTTGAATAATCATCGAATACAGGGTGTTTCAAATTCGATCCTCACCATTGGGATCTCGAAAACTATAAAAGATACGAAGATAGTTAAATTCGGGTGAAGTTACGTATTTACCTGACTAACAATATGCCGTTGAGAAAGTTTTGAAATTCCGAGTATATCCGGAGATATCCACAAAAAACTGAAACTTCGGAAAATGGTTTTTATTTTTTCTGACTTTATTTGCGTATCGTTTTCCGGCCACCATCATTAATTTCATTTTTTCTCATGGGAGCTACATTGGATTCTTTCTGTTTTGAATAGAACCAGATTTTCCCTTTTCAATGATGTATCTATCATAAGTTATCATTCTTTTTCACTCAATGCCATTTTATTATTGTGCAAGTCATTGAATTTATGGCGAAAAATGGCTTTCACGAATGAAGAAAAAAAGAGATATGATAAAAAATTATTACAAATACAATAGAAAGAGTGTTAGGACTTCGGAAATGTATTTAATCTCGAAAGACGACAACCACATCGAACTATGTTCAAGTTATTGGATCAAACTCTCACCCAGTTTGGTTCATTTGAAAAGCCGAGGAAAAATACGGAGAGAGAATGGACGAGGAAACTAAAGAAAATTTGATAAATGAGGTATGTATGAGGTAAGTTAGACATTGTGTCTTATTCAATTAAAATCAATAATTTGGAGATAAACATGAACCCGAGGAAATCTACACGTCAAATTTCCTCAGAAATGAATATTCGTCATGCAAGTGCTTGGAGACATCTCAATAAAAGCGGTTCAAAATGTTACAAAATGTTACAAAATGTTACACATATCTCAACAATTGCATTCAGATTGCAATAGAATTTTGTAATTGGCTAATAAAAAGACTTGATTTTCCTGTTTTCATGGAAAATGTAATTTCGATAGATGAAAGCACTTTTACGAATTGTGGGATATTCAACCGAAATAACAAACACATTTGGAACATAAACAACCCCAGGCAGAAATTCGACCTAAAGTTTGATTCAGTAAAAACGTGTGGGCATGAATTTACAAAGATATAATTTTGGGTTCTCATTCATTTGACGGAATTTCGAATGGAGAAACCTATCTATAACCTAACTATAACAATATCTGGTTTCAACATGGCCAGCAATGTCTCCAGACCTAAGTGTTATGGATACATTCTTATGGGGTACTCTGAAAAATAGAGTTAATGGTCAGAGGAAATATCAAAATATAGAGGACCTTCAACACAGCATTGTTAGAGAGTTTGGAAGATTGAGGAGGAGGGAAATTAATTGTCCAGAAGGGCACAGTTGTGTTATCATGAACAAGGACCTTCAACACAGCATTGTTAGAGAGTTTGGAAGATTGAGGAGGAGGGAAATTAATCGTCCAGAAGGGCACAGTTGTGTTATCATGAACAAGGCCAGCATTTTGAGCATTTACTGTGATTTACTTTCGTCTTCACATTTAAGTTAATTATTGTCATTTGTTTCAAGTTCTATTTTCATGGAAAAGGACACAATGTCTAATTTACCGCATACACACTTCATTTATCAAATTTCAATTGTTGATTCTGTCTCCGTATTTTTGCATTGGCTTTTCAAACGAACCAAACTTGGTGAGATTTTGTTCCAATAATTCAAAGATAGTTCGATGGGGTTGTCGTCTTTCGGGATACAAGGTTGAATACATTTCCGATGTCCTAACACTGTTTCTTTCGTATTTGATACGATTTTGTATCATATCTCTTTTTTCTTCATTTGTGAAAGCTATTTTTCGCCAAAAATTCAATGAATTGTACAATAACAAAATGTCATTGAGTGTAACAAATTGAAAGTCAAATTTAGAAACATCAAAGTCAAAGCCGAATATGATAAGAATTAATTTTTTCAATATCTCCAATTTTTCGAAAAAGAATGACAATTTATGATACCTCATTGAAAATGGAAAATCTGGTTATATTCCAAACAGAAAGAATTCAATGTATCGCCCATGAGAAAAAATAAAGTTGATGATGGTGGCCGGAAGACGAAACGTCGGATAACAAATCTGAAAACACCATAATGTAGCAGGGAGAAAGTGGCAATGAGGAAGTGCAATTTATTTTTGAATTCTTCTGAAAATAAAACCAGAAAAAAATAAAAACCATTTTCCGAAATTTCTGTTTTTTCCGGATATCTCCGGATATACTCGGAATTCCAGAACATTCTTAACGGCATATTCTCAGTCACGTAAATGCACAACTTTGTCCCAATTCAACCATCTTCGTATCTCTCATAGTTTCCGAGATCCCAATGGTGAGGATCGAATTTGAAACACCCTGTATATTTCGCAATTTTAATGTGAAATTGTATAATTATTATCATGGATAGTGTTATTAATTTTCATCAAGTAACGGGTTACTGTATTCATAAAAAAATGTATGCTGATTCTTTTTGAGCTTCTCAACATATCTTATATTTCAGATATCATTTGACAGAAAATCACAAGAATTTGAAAATAAATCAAATGAGCGAAAAATGCGAAACATATCTCGTCAATGAGAAAAAATGTGAAAATCGAGCATTCTACAGAAATCATGAAAACTCATATTCATATTTCATATTTGATTGCACGAAAACAGCAGATAGGAATAAAATATGAAATTAAACTGAATCATGAAGAAAAAAATCTGTTTTTGTGTTCTTCTGTGAAGTATACAATTTTCACATATGACCTTTTGCACTAACCATAGTAATATCTTGTTTTTGACCTCCAGGACAATAAAATTAATATCAATAAAATCCATAGTTCTCTCTCAATAGGCGAAATTATCAAATGCGACAAGCTACTGATGAATAGAATATTTTTATTTATTTTCAATCTATTGAATTTACTCATTAATTTATTGGGGAGAATCAGTTGGCCTGTTTTGAATTCTTCATTTCAATTTTCCATTTATCCAGATTGAGCCAAAAAACAATGATTTCATCTACAGTACAGATATAATTTTTTTCTGTTCATAAATCAATACAAAATCAGATTTTTTCGTTTCAAAGGCAGGAGATTCGATACGACTGCAATTGTTTTTCATTGTTACATTGAGGAATTGAATAATTCAAAGTTCGAATGTTTCTTTTCCTAGGTTGATCTCCATTCCTCTGAAAAATCCCCGGATGCACTCCTTGGCATTTTCGTAAAACACGTTGTGGCTGATAGTCCTGCAGGAAAAACTGGAAAGTTCAAGGTATATATTTTGATCTCAAGATATTCATTTATTCAGTTAATTGTCAATGAAATATTAAGAATCACTTATCATGATAAATCGTTTACACACACCTGAGCTTATCCTCAGTCAGTATCTCCAAACGTCCGCCATTGATGAATTATCTAAGCGATATCCAAAACGGCGGAATTGAATCAATCACGGCAGAATAGATGAATTTATTTATCTTTGTACTGATCGACGTCTATAACATTCAATTACAAGCGTTCAAATAGTAATTTACTTCATATCATTCGAGTTGGAATGCTACAAATGCAATAATTAAATATCCCGCCGAGAAAACTGCAAAACAGGTGTTTTTCATACCCGTATGTCTATAGATATGTGATAATTCCTACAAGCGACTTACTGAATTACTTTATTATCATTGACGAAGTATGTTTTCAACTAGTTAACTCCTGCTAAATGACAGAGCTTATTGTTTTCATTGAACACAAGAACTTGGAGATATAGTGCCGCCTGTACAAACTGATCTTGAGTCTCAGGCTTAAAAGTTTCTTCCAGAGCATACTCTGTGTATCGGTCAGTGTCGATAAGGACAACCGCCATAGTGGATGAGTAGAATTTGGAACCACTGGCGTTAAATTAATTCATTGAAAACACTTTTCCCTCACCAGGACAAAATGCTCATCAGGAGATGATTATCATCTTTGGGCTTATTAGACCAAATTTTGAAATATATCCTCACCTGAATATAGGTCACCGGCAAATAAAATATGGGCTGGAAAGTTCCAGACCTAAAGAAGGAAACGCGTTTGTTTTTGTTCAAAATTGGCTTCATTCACCAATGCAATCTCTATCAAGAGCCGCTCTGACAGTTCAATATCACTTTTGTAGAACGATTTATTGTTTGCCTCGAAAAAAACCACATGGTCAGCTATAACCTCTTCATTTGAGCTAAATTGTGTAACGTTGAACATTTTTTTGAGGTCGCTGTAGTCGCCGGGAGCCAAATCTGGAGAATACGGTGGATGTGGCAGCAATTCGAAGTTCAATTCATGTAGTTTTGCCATTGTTTTGAATGACACGGTGCGTTGTCATGATGAAAGATTTTTTTTTGCCTGATGCGGTCGTTTCTTTGCAATTTCGGCCTTCAAACGCTCCAATGACGCTATATAATATTCAGTTGATGGTATTTCCCTTCTCAAGATAGTCAATGAATATTACACCACGCACATCCCAAAATACCGAGGCCATAACTTTTCCAGCCGATTGTTGTGCTTTCGGGTGCTTTGGACGAGGTTCACCAACTGATCTTCACTCAGATGACAATCGTTTCGATTTCGGAGTGGAGTAATGAATCCGTAATTTGAATCCGAATTTTGAAAAAGGCAAAGCAGCATCTCAAGTAGCAACTGACGTGATCACACCGCATAATAGACAAGACATTGTTGTGTATTACATATATTTATATATTTGGAACACTAATTACATCATTAGTCTAAATTATTATCAAGGTGTGAAATAGATGTCAATATTCAGGATGAAATTTGACTCAATAGATAATAAATTCCATCAAACGCACATTTTTTCAAGTTTTCTCATGAAGAACATTCTCAAATTACACTGTCCAATGAATAAGAAACAAAAATTGTGACTAATGTTATTATGGCTATACATGAGAGTTTAAAGCACCCTGACTGCGACTTCAACATCAAACATTTTCTATCATGTAAAGATTTTGAGTTATAGTTATTTTTATTTTATACAAAATAGCTCACATATTATAGGGAAATATAGGACCAAAACAAAAAAGAATACAATATATTTTGAGGATAACAGACTTTATTTACAATACACATGAAAAACCTTTCAAATGGAGTCTTTTGTGCATAACCTTTTTGTAAATGTTGACTTTGGTTTATATGTTTCATCGTTTTCCCTCATAAGGAACTAACAATAATCCCCCATCTTTGCTGCATCCTATCTGCCTTGGTAACGTTGCTTCATTGTCAGTATGTCTTGGTGAAACCTTTCCTCACTGACAGCACCCAAATTTTCTGGAAAAAAATTCAAATAGGAGTGCAAGAAATGGATTTTGAGACACATGCGACATTCCATTCTGCAGTAGTTTTCAAGTAGTTCTTCTACAAGTGTTTCGTAATTTTTTAATTTCTTGTTTCCTAAAAACTCCGAAACAATTCTTTTGAAAAAACTCCACACAGCTAATTCAACATTGATTAATTTTTTATCAAACTGTTGTCACTTAGTATGACAAGAGAACTAAAACGGAGGGTCTCGGACCTCTAAAACTTCGAGGTGAAGGAATACAAGTGTCGGGGGAGGTTAAATATCTGGTAGTAATACTAGATTCCAAACTGATCTCGAACCAACACTTGGACAGGATAAAGAGAAAAGCGGAGTAGCACTGATGCTCGCCAGACGCACCTATGAAAAAACATGGGGGCTAAAACCAGATATGGTATTATTGACTATACACGATGATGTTTAAACCCATGATAACATACGCATCTCTGGTCTGGTGGCCAAAGATGAAGCAGGAGACCGCCATCAACAAACTAGGTAAGGTGCAAAGACTTGCATGTTTGGGAATGACGGGAGCAAAAGATTGGACCAAACAGAAATTTTGGAAAAAGTGGAGGAGCACATATTAATTATGTGCACAGACCACATGACACCGAAGTACACCTTTAACACAAACTTCACGGCCTATATCATAAGCCGTGAAGAGTGGAAGACCATTAGTCATCCCGAAAACATGTTGGGAAAAACACCTGGTATACAGATGGATCGAAGACCAAACATGGAACGGGAGCTGGAATATACCGAGCGGATAGAATGTTCCCATTTGAGAGACATGCGACATTCCATTCTGCAGTAGTTTTCAAGTATTTCTTCTACAAGTGTTTCATAATTTTCTACTTTCTTGTTGTTCCCTAAAAACTCCAAAACAATTCTTTTGAAAGAACTTCACACAGCTAATTCAACATTACTTAATTTTTGATCAAACTGTTGATCAGTTTTCTAATTTGTGATCCAACAAATATACCTTCCTTGAGCTTTGCATCACCTAATTTTGGAAAAACGTGTTTAAGATATTTAAACGCATCACCTCCTTTGTCTAATGATTTTACAATATTTTTCATCAACCCCAGTTTAATGTGTAATACAGGTAACAAGACGTTTTTGGGATTAAAAAGAGGTGTATTCTTCACGTTAGCTTGACCTGGAATATATTTATCTCTCGGAGGCCATTCTTTTACTTGATAATGGCTTATGTTACCTACTGTTCCAAAGGCAAAGAAAGCAGCAAAACCTCGTAAATCCGCCCTAAAGACCTAGTGATAGTCCTATGACTTTTAGGTCACCACATATTTGTCACTTATAAGTATTATAACTTATAGCATTTAGAATAAGTATTTCCTTCATGGCAACTACATGTGCAAGAGAAATAGAGGGTCTTTTGTCACCATTATGGATCAGAACGGCTTTAGACGTTGTGTTGCCAGATTCTAAAGAATATCCTCAATTTAGGGAAAAAGCAAATATGGAATGTCATGTTCAATAAATTTTTGTGAAAAAAATCATAACTCAAAAATCTTACGTGTTAGGAAATTTTACTAACATTTTCGCATTTAAGTACCAAAAATTAATAAAGAACTGCCTTTGGCATTACAGTCGTAAATTGGCTGTAAACTAGTGTTATTACTCCTCATCGGTGCAGGTTTGATCTTATGAAAAAAAAATGAATATACAGTCCAAATTAGTATGACGTCATAGAAGACTACGTTTATTCGAGATCCTGTGTTGTTTTTGGAACTTCTTCAAATTCATTTTATTCCGCAATGAACTGAATTAAGTAAAATTGAAAGAGTATTTTCCATGTGCAAAATCGTTTGCCACAATTTGAAACTTTTGTAAGTGAAATTTCATATAGGTTGTACCCTCCAATTTGGATAAAAATTGTGTGTCCCTACCTACGTATTTTAATGTGTAGATTAGGAATCCGAAAGAAACAATCGGTGCTCCTTATTGTTCCCATAGTTACTGCAGAATACAAACTATAAAAAACACAAGTTTACTATAAACATTTCAAATTTGAATAACGTACTCTTGGCTTCATTGTTAAGATATTCGACTGTTTTTTGACGCTATATCAAGCGAAAAAAAGATTCAAAAAATTAATTAACATTGGCTCATACCTATGTTCCAAATTAATGGGATGGGAATGATCAAAAAACGTGCAATGAACAAAATTACCCTTTCCAACGTTTGGCGGTGTTCAGAAAAGGTGTTCTGCCAGGCAGTTTCAGTAAAATTACAACTGATGATTCAGGCTTCTTTCTTACTTTACATCTTTACAGCAAAGTATCATAATTTTATTTGCATCCTACATTGCCATGGGTACAACGGAAAGATTTCAACTTGACTTTCACTTTGACTGAATTTGAAATTTCGTTCGCAGTCATTATCAATCACGTCAAAATGTCTATTAAAATCATACGAACTTCAAATTGTAGTCGGTCACATTTACCAACCTCTTTTTACCGAAATGTCAGTAGTACATAACCCTAAAATCCAAGATATTCTGGTGAATTTTTGTTTGAAGGTGATTCACAATGTTTCATGATGAATTTCAATAGTTCGGACTTCCATTGTCTAATATATAAAATTATTTGAAATCCCTGAAACAACTAAAAAAAGAAGAATTAAAAATGAATAGCTGAAAATAACAATTATATTAAGCAAAAATAACCTGAAATGAAATAATAGTGAAATAAAATACAAGTAAAAATAGAACGATTGAACAAAAATATGAGAAATATAAATGAAAATAAAAATAAAAAGTTAAGAGATTCCAAGCCACGTTAGTTCACGACGTTTTGATTGTTAGTATCTACAATCTTCTTCGGGTGATGACTGGACTGATTCCTCCGAGAGATGACTATTTATGGGTCGTTCCAGTACTTTCACTTATCCCCGCTTTCCATTTTTTTCGCTTCACTGGTTCAGTGGGAGATGACCGTTTGGCGGGAGTTGGCCATTTTTCGCTTGATGATGGGTTTCCATATGTTGCGTATCTCTACGCTAGCCTGGCTGAATACGTTGTTGGACAGCATGTATGCGGCTTCCTTGAATTTTCTCCTTAACCAATGTTCCTCTCTGTGTATGATCTCAGCTTGGGATCACTCGATGTTGTGTTGATGGGTTCAAACATGGTCTGCTATTCCTGATTTGCTGGTTTCCCCTCGTTGTGTGTGTTTCTTGTGCGAACATTCAATGGCCTCTTAGTTTCACCAATATAGGGTTTTCCGCACTCACAGGGCATCCGGTAAATGCAATTCTTGGAATCGCAGTCCGTGTTTGGTGGCCTGGTTTTCGTGAGGCTGCTACGGATAGTGTTACCGGATCTGAAGCAGGTTCTGATGTTGTACTTGGAACCAATTCTTCTTATCCTCTCCGATAATCCTCTGATGTAGGGAAGTGCAAGCACTGGTTGTGACGGCTTCTCTTCCTTGCGAGGCTCTTTTAGCTAAATTATTTTCTACCATCGCTTTGGAGTAGCCATTCCGTTGAAGGTCATTTCAAATCATTTTATATATTAGACGATGGAAGTCCGAACTAGTGAAATTCATATTCTGGTGAAATTGATGACACGCGTGAATCGTTATATTCGTGCCATTCATCCTTGTACGAATGTCTACATTATGCAGTGTAATGTCCGCTGTAAAAGGTTCTTCTGTGATTCGACTATAGTAAAAATCAACCAGTAAGTCCACTCCCACTGCTTTCATTCATAAATTCACAAAAGTTCTCGGTGACCTCGAAACGAAGTGTGGAGTCAATTTCGTTCTTTTGCCATAGGTGTGAGCTTATTATAGAGGTTATTATAGAATATTTTGTGGTAAATTACTTATAACCAACTACAAAAACTAAAAACAATAATAACAACAGCAAATAAACTAAACACAATATCAATTTCCGACCGTCAAATCCTTCGATACCACAGCACTGAACGCGTTGGATGAGAATCTCATCCTGAGAGCGGTTGAAGGTCCCCGGCAACTCGGGCAGATCACGTGGTAAGAGAGCCTACTGGTTGTATTATTCTACTGTAATTCGACCGTGCATAGAGATTATAATGGCAAGGGGCTGTGTTTTCTGCTGCAGAATTGGTCATGTGGACTTTCAGTGGAAAGATGATGGCAACATTCAGTTTGCCTCCTCAAATGTATGACTAAAATTTGAGGAAACGAAAACACGAGGGAACGAGTATTGATAGAGATTTATTTCTTTCTTCGCATTTCGAAAACATCGGTTTTTTGTCACCATCTAGAGTTTCTTGTTTCGTTAAGAAATCGAAACATTGTGTAATTTCAGATGACTAGTTATCTGAAGTGGGGAGAGATAAATCCCAGAACGGATTGAAGGTTAACTTCCAAAAGATATTGGAGGAACGCCTGAGCATATTGCTGCCCGTAACCCAAGCATATTTATGTAAGTGGATCTTTAAGGAAAATGTGTTAACCACTCCCATCGACGATTCTGTCGACCATAGTTCCTTAACCACTTCTGCAAAGGCTTTGTACATGAAATACTAGTGTTGATATCTTTCATGTAGGCATCAACTCCAACAACCATCTTGTGTTCGATAAACATTGAATCCATACTTTTTAAGTTTTGAAATTGCTCATTACACAGCATAATGTAGGCATCACGGTAAGTGGTAAGAATATGACGATTCATGTGTCCTCTTGTATGAACAGGATGAAACAAAGTCGGGCTGTCATTTGCAATTATTTGAATTTGTATCATTTAGGTGAATATACATTAAAACTGAGAGATGTCACCAGGAAACGAATTCATTCTTGAATCAAATTTTTTGTAGGAAAAATATTGGTTATTGAACAGGAAAGGGTTGAATAAAAAGTGATATGTTGATGAATACTTGTTTCTGTTTTCTTATATTTTTTATTATGCAAAAGGAAGGCTAAAAAGTTGCATTATTCTGTAAATAATGGAGAACAGCAAGTTTATCTTTCGGATTCGTAATCTACACGTCTAAGTATGTACAATGACATTTTTATGGCACTTATTTGCAACTGTGTTCATAGCAAGTCTGTACAAAATTAATTACGACGAATACAAAATTTAAATGAGAATTATTAATGGAAAAATAGATGATAGAGATCTGTTTCAATGCAAATCAATAGAAATGATTGATTATTCAAACTGCGCTTTTCATTTTCCTACACCTCTAGTGCTGCACCCCAATGAATCATATTTTGCTTTTTGCATGAACATGGAAAAAATGTTGTATGCAACTCGTGCAAAAATTGTGGAACTAGTTGTAATTGAAAGAAATATCTGAAGATACCATCTTTCACGTCTATCAATCCACAGTCACCACTAATTCGCTTAGTAAGGTGCAATCAAAATTAGGGCTTTCAATCAAATTTTGTTAAAATTAAGTGTTCATATTACTTCATTTTCTTTCGAAACAGATGGGAATTGATTATTAATGTCTTTTGCGATATAATATACTTACAAAACCGAATGAAATCATTGATAAAGAATTTTAAATTCTATAATTTGAGGTTATATTATAATAAATCGTTGATGGTTAATTAATGTGAAAACTGACCTGTCAAATCCACTAAAACCAATAATTGTGCCAGATTATCAATACTGAAGTTTATGAATACTGTGAAATTAAGAGCAATTGAAGCTGAGAGCACTTACAAACACTGACACTTACAAAAACCGCCACTGTACCTGTCACTAGACTAGAACTAATACTAACCGCTTTCAGAGGTATCTGTTGCTTACTATACCGGTGTGGTGGTAAACCAAGAATGCTTACCCAATTTTGCCGTAATTGCACATAGATGGTGTAGATACCACTAATTTTGTGTAGTATATTGAGTTACCACTAAATCGCTTATTATCGTAAGACATTTCTGCAGATACGGGATTCTTTTTTCATAACAGTTCACACATTTAGAGTACAGATGCGGTACATATACCCTAATATAAGTTTTAAAATGGATTCTAGAATGACTTGGCGATATTATCTAATTTTTCATAATTTTGTGGGTTACCCCCCTTTGCGCTTAGTAGGGCAGTATTGATATTCACTTTTTCGACTTATTCCATTGTAATCTGGAAAGATGAACGAATTCATTATTATTATTATTCAAGTCAGATTTTGTTTAATTCGTTCGTCCGTGTGATAAAGGATCACTTCACGTATTCTATATTATTTTTCAGAACTTCTCAGAAACCGAAATAAACGACAAAAATAACGAAAGTGTCGCTCCGTCGCCTTGTCCACAATCAGTCACTCCAGAGTTCTCCCCTCAATCCGAGATATTAAAGAACGATGAAGAAAATCACGAAAATGAAAGTGAATACCAAAACGATCTTCACATGCAGAACTGTGAAACATCAGAAGACGTCTCCAGAAAAAAAATCACAGAAACTGCGACCCTGAAAGAATCATGTGAAGTAGACCTCGTGCCTTTAGTAGCGGAAGTTACTCCTGTTTATGCACCAGAATCCATCGATGAGGCAAAAGCAGAACCGCCTGCTTCAGGGTTCATTTATGATGAGCAGGATGAAAAAGAATCAGAAGACAAGAATGAATCCCCTTTGGGCAGTGATGATGATGAGGAGGAAGACGTCAGGGAGCTGGAAGGAAGAACCGTTTCCAGCAAAGGATACCAGGTACATATCTACAGATGGTTTTTATGCTTGAATAATAATTAATTGAAAGAACTGGCCGATACTTGATGATTCATATTTAAACTTACTAATACACTTTATTGTATGATTTTCACTATAAAGGGTTTTAAGAAAACCGCGACACGTGTTTCGCTATACAATAGCTTTTTCAAGCGTAAAATGAAAGTTACTTCTCAGTTACAACTATTTTATACTCTAACATAAAACCTACGTGTATGCCTACTTTCTGATGAATGAATCTACCTGAGAAGGTCAGGTACAAATATATTAATTATGTGAATAAACTAAATTTCCGAAAGTACCGTATTCATACTTAACTTTTCTTACCTGGAAATAAACAGACTAAATGATGGCGAATTATTCAGTTCAGTTTGATCATTCATGAGATATTGAGAGTTTTTAAATTTGTTGTTTTTCCAAACGCTCCAACAGGTTGACTTTTAAACCTTTCTTCTGGAAATGGAGGGGCTTGAGTGGCAAGGTTGAACTGATGCCCCTCTGTGATTAAATGAGTGGCATTTGTGGAATTTATTTTTCCATTCTGGAAAATATTTCTGTGTTTCTTTATGTGGGCTTTGAACGCTCTTCCATCGATGAAACTTTTCATTGTACTGTATTTTCAGACAGATATTTATTTTATGCGTGAAAAAATAATTAATAAGGATCATGTAATTAAAAAAAAATCCCAAAAAATTTCTCTCAAAAAATGTTGAAAGTATACTCTGAAAAAACATTGAAAAATGTCAACAACAATGAATCACATAACAATCCTGAGAGTGATTCTGACAGGTCTGTGGTAGGTATCCTGCCTGAGAATAATTTTTCGACGTCTCTGTTTGGGCCAACAGGTAGATGTCAATGAGCTTAATCATTTATATTACACGGAGGCTCATTGTTCCCCTTTGTATTGTCATGGTTTATTTTGTCCCAATATCTCAATTGACAACGACATGGTTACAGATATCTATAATAATAAAATCTTGAACCTTATATTTTCACGTCAATTATCAATTCATATTTTATTTTTTATACTCCTGTAAACTTGGAGAATGGTTGAAAACCAATTCGAAAACAATTTTTTGCGTCAGATATTACTATAATGAGATTGTTACTGATAAAAAGCCTGTCGTGATAAACTTCAACAGTTTCGAAGGTATTTCAACTGTTATATTGTGAATTATATGCTGATTATCCAACAAGGATAATTCCAGGCAAGTTTGATGTCGCAGAAATCATTCATAGGTAACTTTGTAAGCCTTTCAAAAGGAATCGAATTTTTACTGGCAAATCCTGATACAAAAAAATTTCACGTAATGATAAAAGTGATAAATCACAACTTCAAAATAGTACAAGGTTTGTTACTGAAAACGAATGAACGGAAGCAAAGATCTACTCCACCAAGAGTCTCACTCTTGCTAGCTGTCATGAAAGATCACTCACCAAATAAGTAATCAGCTTCGTTGAGAATTTGGATTTATTTGGTTGAGGTTGAATAGCTGTGAGCCACTATAAACCTTCGCGGGTCGCCGTGGAGCGTCGAACAGATTCATTTACTTTTGACCTACCTCTACCTAAGACTTACCTAACACCCAAAACTTTTCGCGCACCAGAACTAAAGCACTTTCGATGTTTTACTAACCAAGTTAGAATTGTCAGGGGATCATTGAAGCTAGTCATCTCCTGATGATGCTGACTTGGTTTGTGTTACACCTCGCATAAATGAAAATCACGAACGACCATTAACTACTGATTGAGCTGTTGGTTTCTATTCATCATTTAGTGTTCTCAAAACAGACGAAAATTCTGAAAACTCAATCATCACAGAGTACAATTATGTATCATCAGCCGAACTGAAAAAATTCGATTATTCAGAAGAAATTCTCTGCTAACGTAATATCACTTTAAAGTTGTACGACATTGTGACCCAATGCTTTTGCTTTCGAAGTAAATCTTCTACGGCCCTGCAAATATTTCTCAGTTCCTCTTTCACTCTTTCATTTATGATACAATATTGGATTTATTTTTCTAGATCGACAGAGCGAGCGCAGGGAATGTTAAAAGAACTAAAGAAGAAATTGCAAACGATACAGAAGATGAAGATGATTTCGGTTATACCACGAGTGAGTACGAAAAATTATTTTATGAATGTACTGTAATATTTCGAATGTGTATGGTTTTGTATGTGACTGAACGATGTTAAACAATACAATATAGCAAGAAGACTGATTATCGACTAAATTATGAATTCATGCTAACAATATACATCATGACGGACAGTCGTGGATCAAATGAAAACGAACCTTTTCAGGCAAAAAAATTATAAATGTGGTAATTTTTTCATTTTCGATGGAGTTATCGTCAAATTATGAATGAACATTTCATAAAGCTTTTTCGAAACTATCTGCTGTAAATTTTTAATTCATAAAGTAGACAAATAAGACAAATTCCCAGCTCAGATAAATTCAAAACTTATTTCACTGTTTGTTTATCCAAACAGTTTACATTAAAAAAATCAAATATTGTCTTCTATTTAATAACATATGTTAGAAAAAATAAGCAAGTTATGAATATTTAAAGTAAAAAAATTACAAAATATTGATTTTTCAAATACAAATACAATATACAATAAAACAATAATTGGTACAAGTCCACAAGTAAACAAGTAATTGGAACGACAGCATGCATTATTAAACATAAATCTAAAAATTTTGAATGAAAAATTAGATGAATTATATTTTTGGCGAAACATTGCTTTCATGAATGAATAAAAAAGAGAAATGATACAAATTTATTACAAATACGATAGAAACAGTGTTAGGACATCAGAAATGTATTTGAAAGACGACAACCACATCGAACTATGTTCAAGTTATTGTATCAAAATCTCACCGAACTTGGTTTATTTGAAAAGCCGAGGAAAACAAACGGAGACAGAATAGACCTGGAAACTAAAGAAAATTTGATAAATGAGGTATGTATGAGGTGAAAGACATTGTGTCCTTTTCAATAAAATTAATAATTTGCAGATAAACATGAAAACATGAACCCTGGAAAATCTACACGTCAAATTTCCTCCGAAATAAATATTTGTCATACAAGGGCTTGGAAACATGTCAGAAAAAGCGGTTTAAAAAGTTACAAAATACACATACCTCAAAAATTGCATCCAGGTGATCCCGAAAGGCGATGAAAATTTTGTAATTGGCTAATAAGAAGACCTGATTTTCCTGTTTTCCTGGAAAATGTAATTTGGACAGATAAAAGCACTTTTACGAATTGTGGGGTATTCAACCGAAATAACGAACACATTTGGGGTATAAACAACCCCAGGCATATCCAAAAAATGCGATTTAGTATTAGGAGTGGAGAGAAATTGACAAAGATAGAATTTTGGGTCCTCATTTATTCGACGGAATTCTGAATGGAGAAACCTATCACCAGTATTAATGTAGATTTTAGACTATTTGGCAAGAATATAATTGTATTTTTAGTAAAAAATTGATTCTGTTACCCAAACAACCCCTTTTACAGAAAAATTATTGGATCACTAAACTAGTTAACTATTTGTATGATCTACCAGGCTAACTATAACAAAATCTGGTTTCAACATGATGGTGCTCCACCGCACACTACCAGACGAGTATTTGATTACCTGACTGAAGGGTTTGGTGATTAATGGATAGGGAATAATGGGCCGGTGAGGTGGCCAGTAAGGTCTCTAGACTTAAGTGTTATGGATACATTCTTATGGAGTGAATAGAGTTTATGGTCAGAGGGAATATCAAAATATTGATGATCTTCAACACAGCATTGTTAGAGAGTTCGGAAGATTGAGGAGGAGGGAAATTAATCGTGCAGTGAATAATATTGGAAGAAGGACACAGTTGTGTTATCATGAACAAGGTCAGCATTTCGAACATTTGCTGGGATTTCCTTTTGTCTTTACATTTTAGTTAATTATTGTTAATTTACCTCATACACACCTCATTCATCAAATTTTGATGTCTCCGTATTTTTTCATTGGCTTTTCAAACGAACCAAACTCGGTGACCTTTTGATCCAATAACTCGAACATAATTCGATGTGGTTGTCATTTCCGATGTCCTTACACTGTTTCTATCGTATTTGTAATAAATTTGTATCATATCTCTTTTTTCTTCATTCGTGAAAGCCATTTTTTGCCAAAAATTCAATAACTTATGAAATAACAAAATGTCACTGTGTGTAACAAATTGAAAGTCAAATTTGGAAACATCAAAGTCAAAGCCTATCATGATATGAATTAATGTTTTTCATTATCTCCAATTTCTCGAAATAGAATGATAACTTATGATACATCATTGAAAAGATAAAATCTGGTTCTGTTCAAAACAGAAAGAATTAGAAAAAATAAAGTTGATGATGGTGGTCGGAAGACGAAACGTCGGATAGCAAATCTGAAAATCCCTTTATATAGCAGGAAAAAAGTGGCAATGTGCAAGTGCAATATATTTTCGAATCCTTCGAAAATTAACGCCAGAAAAAAAATTATTTTCCGAAATTTCTGTTTTCTCCGGATATTTCCGGATATACTCGTAATTTCAGAACTTTCTCAACGGCATATTGTTAGTCAGGTGAATGCGCAACTTTGCCTCAATTAAACCATCTTCGTATCTCTCATAGTTTCCGAGATCCCAACGGTGAGGATCGAATTTGAAACACCCTGTATACTTACAGCAATGTATGTACGTATGTATTTTATTCATCATCCTCACAAATGTGTTTTGACGAATAATTGTCCTCACAACTCATATGCCATGTAGAAATAAAAACAATTTGAACGATATACATATGAATTGGACAAAGACACACGAAGAAGTAAACATTAATCAATATAATCAAATATAGTTACTGTTCAATAGGTATCTACAGATGGCGGTTTGAGTCATGGCCGGTGAGCTTCTCCCTCAAGATATGCAGTAGATGTGTAGAAACCTGTAATGAGTCTGTTAGATTATTCGAGCCCTAAATGTAAAATTGCAAACGAAAGCTTCTATTTCTTTTTTCCTGATACTAACATGAATAAAATTCATCATTTTGAGAATCGAAATTATGGTACGTCATAATAAGCGGCTTGTAGAAGTTGATGTTTCAGGACTCGTTTGAATTTGTGATTGTGAGAATAAATAAATAATCATGGAATCTACATTTATTATCGAGACTTTTATTTCTCAACAATCTGGATTGTTTGATTTTCATTTCACTTCCATAATCAATTTGCATAATTTCAGCTACTTGATCAGATAGATGATACTCAGTCGTATAAGCATTTTTGACATTGAAATTAGTGAAAATATTGTCAATAACTGTTTTCGAATTTCCATGTAGATTAGAGAATTCTGAAATATTTTTTTGATAACCATTCAAATACAATAATTATTGTCATAGACACGTGATTGTACTCACCAAAGTTTATATTGAAATCACCACCTATTATGACATAAACATTATTTTTGTCAAATGTTTCTGAAAGGTCAATAAATATCGCCAGCAGGTGATCTGTATAGCGCAATTATAGTAATTGTTTTGCTCTTTACTCATCTTACTAATATCACCCAGGAATTCTGATTAGAATATATCTCTAATGTAAATGTGAATACCACATTGTTTTTTTTCTGACTAAATGACATGCCATGTACAATTTGTCCACTTTATATAAATGAGTCTCCGCATCCTGAATCCAATATTCACTCAGTATGATTGCTGCAAACTAATATTCATTTGCTAATTTGGATACTGATTAAATTTTATTTCTGTTACACTGAATGTTGAGATCATCAGTGCTGAACATTCATTTGGAGAGTTTTTGTGATGCTTTGGCTCTATAGTTTTGGTGGTTCTTGATATAGACGAGAGTATAAAAAATAATCAACCTCGCACACTTAATGTTCACTCGAGTCAGTAGCTAGTGATATAGATGTTTGCTTAGATTCAGATTCGAATCAAGATGTGAAGAATTTGATGGTCCATTGTTTTCCACGAAAGTTCTGCAGATTTATCGCGTGCATGTTCTTCTTATATTTTGACTGAATTGATATGTTTTCGAATAGGAGCAACAATTTCTTCACATAGCAATATATTAGTATTGGTTTCCAATGTGCCGATTAAAGAGAACAAAATCGGGGCTACTAGCCGGAAAGAAAAACAAAATCTCGAGACATTGTCGGTTAAAGCATATGTTCCTATATTTTTCTAATATACCGATCGAAAGCTTTCTCTGAATTGATCACAAAATAGCTCAATTTTGAAATTGTATCACACTTACAAAATGAACGCGATAACTAAATGAGAAACCACTTTCTGTCTCTTTACAGCTCTTACTGCAAGCAATTTTTTTAGCTCTGCTTCTTCCAGACACTGATACCTAGTACTTCTAATGGTAGTCGTCAAGGATGTGTTTATGACCAATAGAAAATATTCATACAAAGATCTCCAATGGTTATGCAGAACATTTTTGGCATTTTGACTTATTTTTTTTTTAAATTATGCAATGTTCAACCTTTGGACTCGTGTGAACTTCTGATAGACATGAAACTAATTTCCCTCCAGGTTGTTACAGAACCTGACAACTTCAACTTTACAAACCAGATTTTGGTCTGTCGAAATATGTACCGAGTTGAACGGATATGCACATTCCGATGTTGATACAATTGTCGTTTTGAGTTTAATACAGATTAACTTTGTTTTTGGGAAATAAAGTTTTTGGCTTTCTACTAACACATCTTGTTACAAAAAAAATGTGGAAATAAATAAGTAACTCTATACATGGATATGTAGATCATGCAAAGAAGTAACTCTCAGACACAAACTGGAAGAGAAAGCTCTCCTGAAACAGCTCCTTTTATATAAAAGTTGAATTACACGAAAGAAAAATTATTTAGAAACAAATACTTTTATATGAACACTGAATTATACAGAAGATATTCTGATTAGAATATATCTCTAATGTAAATGTGAATACCACATTGTTTTTTTTTCTGACTAAATGACATGCCATGTACAATTTGTCCACTTTATGTATGATTGCTGCAAACTAATATTCATTTGCTAATTTGGATACTGATTAAATTTTATTTCTGTTACACCAAAAAATAAATCATGAAATTGTGTAAATTTTCGAAATTATTCCAAATTAGATACTCGCATTGAATATGTTTGAATGTGTATATACTTTTTGTTGGTTCTTTATAAACAGTGCATATTTTTGAGGTCAATGAAAGTTAATGTATAATAGTAAACTGTGAATAAAATCATATGAACTTTTGAGATATCATGTAATGTATTATGCTACAACTCCGTTCATCTCACCATAGAATTGATATTTCCAATATTTCAATCAGGGAGCTCATCACGAATTGATCGATAACCAATCTATTTAGTTGACGGAAACATGTAATTAGGTATATCTTTCAGGGCTGGAGAGAGTAGAGTGGTTGGGTTTCTGTACTTTCTGATATAACCAGTAATTGATGCAGATTGATGTAGACTTGATGGGAACAACAAAATATAGTACGACTTCGAGTATACAGTGTGTACATCTATGATGAATTAAAATAATCACCGTTATAGAAATATATTTTGAGAAAGTCTTCAGAACTATGTAATGAAAAAAATCGGGTTTGATTATACCTTGTTTGAAATATTTTTCAATAGGCCTATTTTCACTTTTTCATCATTCCAAAAAGGAAATTGACAGATGAAATTGAGTGTATTCGATGCTTAAGAAAACAGCTTCAAAGAGGCAGTTCAGCATAAGGGATGTGACGTCACCAGATATATGGAATGCGGAGCCGGCTGCGATTCGTTTTATATGTGTAAGCGATATGAAAGTTCAATTATCTTTGGTTGTTTGTATTCAGAAAAGTGTTGTATAGTACCTATAGATGTGTGTCCTTATTCCACACGAAATGAATCAAACAAAAGTCATCAAAAATGGAAAGTTCACAAAGTTGTGAAGAAAAGAGATCGTTTAATAAATAAATTATTCAAAGTGATACCTGGAATCAGCGGTGAATTGTGAAGTGGTAACGCAACCGACTCACGATCGGAAGGTCGTGAGTTCGATCTCAACCTCGACCAGATATTTTTCTCGAGAGAATTTATCTAGTTGGGATGATTCTGCAACGTTACATATCTGACGGACTGCGAATAGCCATGATGACCAATGCAGTCGATGCCGATGCCACAAAAAAAAACCTGACATCAGCATTATTCAATCACTGAATTTAATTCTTACACGAATTTTATTACACTTTCATGTAGAGATTGGAAAATTGGAATTGGAAAATTTGAGACCTTCATAACTACGTTCATGAAAGATTTTATATTTCACTCCGTTGGTTAGGTTAGGTTACGTTAGGTCAAAAGTGAGTAGGTCTATTCGACCCTCCACCGCAACCCGCAAGAGTTTATTGTGCTTCTACGGCTCTGCCGAATTCTAAAAACCTGATTCGGTCTCAAGCTGGGCAGGCATAAAGTATATGCTCTGCTGTTTCATCGTCGATGAGGTAGTCGGATAATCAAGGTGCAAGATTCCCAACTTGATATCAGCGACAACCATACCATATGAGGGTTTTTGCACATCAGCTACACCTGACGATGCCCTATATTCAATCTTGCAGGCCTTTTTCGCCTCTGGTTTTGGTAATTCATCACTTGAGCGTGAAAGTTTGCTAATCTGCGCATAGGGGGTTTGTTTCTCCACCTGGGACGGATTCTGCGTACACCGCTCAAGAATTTGGTGCAAGGCGGTTTCTTAAGGTAGCCTGCTCTTGAGGAGACGACTCAGTCGTTTCTTGGCTGCACCACCAAACCTTTTTTTTAGGTTCAGTTATTGGATCAGGAGTTGAAGAGTTGAGTAGCTCTCGCTCCTGATCTAAATTTACAGGGACGTTAGTTAGAGTCGTAAGCTTGACATCCATCCCCTTTGTAGACTCGCTCCTGATCTAAATTTACAGGGAGATCAGTTGGAGTCGCAAGCTCGACATCCATCTCCTCTGTAGACTCAGCGTCAGAAAGAATTTTCAAGTTTACTCTGTCCATAAAAGTCCCACGAGTAGCTAGGGAAAGAAGGTCAATCACGGCAGAGCCCCGCATTACCGTCACAAGGCGATGCTACGACTAGAGGGCGCCCGGTATCTCGAAGGTCCCGTAGAGACAGCTGATAGGCACAGTGTCATTCATCCTCTTGGCACGGATACACGCACCTTAGAATTAAGCCATTCAGTTGGGGAATAACAGAACCACAAGTGATTCTGTCATTCCCGTATCCACCAGGGCTACGTGTAGCAGGCATCCGATGGTCGGTTTGCTCAATCCCCACATCTCAAGCCTATGTACTCGCCAAAAACAGCATGCACAGTGGTTCAGGCAGTGAAATATGAACAAGGACAGCCAACCCGCCATGGAGTTAGATAGTAGTCAAATCACTAACGTTATCTCTCTCATCTCTCGTTGTAGGTATTCTGTTAATGAGCAGAATTATTATATCGATTATATTATATCGATTATATTACATCACATTGATGTAATATAATCGAAGTTAACTTCCCCAGAAACGGAATATGTATTGTAAGAAAAAAAAAACAATGATCACGGTTAAAAAGTTCATTGAAAAACCAACTGTTATAGTCTCATAATAAATTTACGACATAATTCAATTAGAAAATTCAATGTATCCATAAATAAATAATTATTATCTGGTTTCATAATAAGTATGAGTTTATATAACAATTAAAACAGATGCAGTAAAATATTTTATATCAATAACTTTCCGAACGTTCATGTACGTTCTATTTACTAAAATAACTTTTCGAATTGCTTTTTTATTAACTTTTCGCTATAAATCACTGACTATAAAAAAGACGTTATATTTTTTATGTGACCAAATATAATCGAAAGTTTATTATAACATACTGGAAGCATAAAGTATAGTGACAGGTTATAACTCATTCCTTTCATTTTTCAATTATTCAAACAACACATTATTTTTTTCATTTCAATACATTTCAACATAGAACTTCATAATTAATTTTGAGCAGGTATTTTGGTTTATTGATTCAGATGTTTTGAACAGTAACATCTAAGAATGTACCAACTGACTTTAATAATAGTTATTGATGTACTAGTTGTTGCCCGCGGCTTCGCCCGCGTA